CACAAAGATACAGCAAAAAAGAAAACTATCCCTGATGAACATAGTTATAAGAAATCACAACAGGGACCAGCAATTAGCATAATGGCTGTGTCGCTGAACTCCCATGTGTCAACCGTGGTTCGAGTCTCGGACCCAGTAGCTTAAACTCACGCCGGGTGTGTGTGCGTGCGTGCTCAGGATCCTGAGAGGAGAATGGATTGCGGCGTGACCATCTCCCCTGAGAGATGATTTCTCACTTTCTGTCTCTCTTTCTGGTGAGCGCACGTGCCCCTATAGCAAAAACCTTTCCAAAAAAGGAAAGAAAAAAAAAAAAAGAAATCACAACAAAATACTAACAAACCAGATTTGGCGGTGTATTGAAAAGATTATTCACTAAGATCAAGGGATTTATTCTGGGGTGCCAAAATGAAGGACAGAACCATAAAGTAATTATGATAGATACAGAATAAGCATTGGAAAAAAAATCAGCATCCCTTCCTGATATATGCTCTCAACAAATTAGTTATAGAAGGAATATACCTCAACACAATAAAACTCATGTATAAGAAACCTGCAACTAATATACAAAAGGGGAAAATGTTGAAAGCTTTTTCTGTAAGACCTAGAACAAGTCAAGATTGCCTGCTATCTCCATTTCTATTCGACATAGTTTTTAAAAACCTAGCCAGAGGGACCAGCAGTTGGTGTGATGGCTATGTCACTTGACTCCCATGTAGTCAACTGTGGTTCAAGTCCCAGGCCCGGTGACTTAAACACATACCAGGCATGTGTGCGTGCGTGCCCAAAATCCTGAGAGGAGAATGGAGGAGAAGGGATTGTGGTATGACCACCCCCCTTGGGGGTAATTGCTCGCTTTCTGGTGAGCGCATGTGCCCTATAGCAAAAACCTCTCCAAAAATTAAAAAACCTAGCCAGAAAAAATAGACAAAAATAAAAAAACATCTGTTTGGAATGGGAAAAGCTAAATAGTCCTTTTGTAGATGGCATGATCTTATATATATAGAAAACCCTAAAATCTCTATTAAAAGACTGACCTTGGAATAGTGGTTAAGGTGTTGGACTCTCTCCCACATGGCAAACGCGGTTCAAGTCACAGATCTAGTGGCTTGAAAATCACACCTGGCGTGTGTGTATGCATGCCCAAAATCCCAGGAGGAGAATGGAGGAGAGGGATTGCAGATGGCCACCCGCCTTGGGGAATGATTTCTCAGTTTCCATCTCTCTGGCTCTCTAAGTGAGCACATATGCCCTGTGGCAAAAAAATAAAAATTACTACCTCTAGTGAACAAGTTCAGTAACACTGCAGAGTACAAAATCAACATACAAAAGTTAGTAAAACTACATACTAATAATGAAATATCTGAAAAATAAATTTTAATCCCATTTATAATAGCTACCAAAAATGTTCTTAGGAATAAATGTAATCATGAAAATGAAAGATCTCTAACAGAAAACTAAAACATTGATGAAAGAAATTGAAGATACAAATAAATGGACAGATATCCTGTATTCGTAGATTGGAAAGTTTTTCCATTTTAATTTTATTTTTTTGCTAGAGGGTGCATCCACTCTAGTGGAGAATGATCACATACCAATTCTTCTCCTTTTGGGATTTTGGGCACACGTGCGTTCACACTTGATGTTTTTCAGGCCACCAGATCTGGGACTCGAACTGTACATCTGGCCATATGAGATACTGCTGTTTTAACCAGCAGGCCATGGATTGGGCCTGGATTGGGGAAGAATTAATATTGTTAAAATGGCTATACTACTCAAAGTGATCTACAGAATCAATGAAATCCCTATCAAAATACCAATGACATTCTTTTTTTCTTTTTTTTTTTCCTTTTTTTGGAGAGGTTTTTTTTTCGCTATAGGGCGTGTGCGTTCACCAGACAGACAGAAAGAGACATAGAGACAGAAAGCGAGAAATCACCCCCAAGGGGGGATGGTCAATCCCTTCTCCTCCATTCTCCTCTCGGGATCTTGGGCACGCACGCACACGCACCCGGCGTGAGTTTTAAGCTACCGGGTCTGGGACGTGAACCGCGGTCGACTACATGGGAGTCTAGCGACATAGCCATTACGCTAACTGCTGGTTCCCAATACCAGTGACATTCTTTACAAAAAGAAAAATCAAACCTAAAATTGTGTGGAACCACAAAAGATCTTGGGTAGCTTGTTCATCACCAAAAAAGCAAAGCTAGAGGCATCACAACCTAGTTTAGGCATATACTATAAAGCTGTAGTAAGAACAGAATACAGAGCCCAGGAGTAAATCCATACATTAACACCATCTAGTTTTTGACAAACATGCCAAAAACACAATAGGGAAAGGATAATTTATTTAACAAATGGTGTTGAGAAACCTGGATATTCACATAGAAAAAAATGAAACTAGATTATTTGTCATCAAAGTAAGATACTTCAAAAAGTTTACAGAAAATGGAATTAAAGTATGAGCTTATTTTGGCACAAAAAATTTTGAAATCGATGCATTTTTTTTCATTGTATATATTCGCTGTGAACTTTTCAAAGACCCTTCACATATAAAAATTAACTCTAAATAGATTATAGACTTAAATGTAAGGCATCAGACTATGAAGCTACTACAAGATATAGGGAAAAAGTTCCCTGATATTGCTGTGGGCAGTGTTTTTTGTTTTTGTTTTTTAAAGAGGTTTTTGTCATAGGATGTATGTGCTTGCCAGAGAGAGACGGTGAGAGGGAAAGTAAGAAATCACCCCTTGGGGGTACAGCCACACCACAGTCTCTTCTTTTTTATTCTCCTCCTGGGATCTTGGGCATGCATGCACATGTAGCCAACATAATTTTTAAGCCACCAGGTCCAGGACTTGAACTGTGGTCACCCATGTGGGAGTCCAGTGACATAACCACTCTGCCATCTGCTGGCCCCACGCAGTGATTTTTTTGGGAAATGACCTCAAAAACATAGGCAACAAGAAAATTAAACAAATAGGATTACACCAAACTAAAAAGATTCTATACAGTAAAAAAATCAACAGAGCAAAGAGACAAACTACAGAATGAGAGAAAATACTTGGAATCGCTTCTGCTAAATGGCTGATAGCCAAAATTTATAAGGAACTCACAAAAAATAGCATAAGAACTCACATAAGATATACAAATAGGGACCAGCAGTTGGCATAATAGCTATATCGCTGGACTCCCATGTAATTGACCATGGTTCCAGGCCCGGACCCGGCAGCTTAAAATCACGCCAGGTGCATGTGCATGCTTGCCCAAGATCCCAAGAGGAGAATGGAGGAGAAGGGATCACAGTTTGGCCATACCCCCTGGGGGGTGATTTCTCGATTTCTGTCTCTCTCTCTGTCTCATAGCAAAAACCTCTCCCCCCTAAAAAAGGAGATATAAAAGTAGCCAAGCCAGCAGGTGGCATGGTGGTTAAGTTGCTGGATTCCCACATGACTGACCACGGTTTGAGTCCTAGACCTGGTGGCTTGCTTTCTCATTTTCCCTTTTCCTCTGTCTCTCTGATTAATGAACCTGTCCTATACTGAATAAAAAAATGATGATAAAATTGAATGAATAAATCTTAAAAAAAAAAAAAAAAGATACACAAATAACCAATGAGTACATGAAAAAATGTTCAACATTGAGACCAGCAAATTGTGTGGATATTAAGGCAGTTGGATCCCACATTGCCAAACTGAGCAGTTCAAGTCCCAGTGCCTTGAAAACATGCCAGGAGTATGTACATGCATGGTTAAAAATCCCAAGAGAAGAATGGAGGAGACGGGATTATGGTGTGGCCATTCCCATTAGGGAGGTAACTTCTCACTTTCCCTCCTCTGTCTGTCTCTGTTCCTCTCTCCGATGCATACACACACTATAGCAGACTTAAAACCAAATTCTCAACATCAAAACCACAATGAAATGTCACCTCATTCCTGAAAAAAAATCAGCTGTTAATTAAAAATACAAAAGGTAAGTGTTGCAAGGATGTGGAGAAAAGGGAAATGTACACTGTTGATGGGGAATGTAAATTGGTACAGCCTTTATGAGAAACATGATGGGGGTTCTTCAACATAATAAAAATAGAGCTACTACATAACCCAACAGTCTCACTTCTGAGTATATATCTAAATCAGTATCTCAATAAGATGTCTGCTCCCATGTTTATTGCAGTATTTTTTACAGTAGTTAAGATACAGAATTAAACTAAATGCCCATCAGTAGTAAGAAAAATGGTATAGTACACAGTGGCGTGCGTATGAGCCTTTAAAAAAGAAAGGAAATCAAAAAAAAAAAAAAGGAAATCCTGTCATTTTTGACAATATGGAGGACTCTGGAAGGCATAATGTTAAGTGAAATAGAGAAACATACTGAATGATCTCATTCATGGGGATTTTATTTTTGTCGTTTTTTTTTTTCTTTTTTTTTTTTTTTTTAAGAGGTTTTTGCTATAGGGCACATGGGCTCGCCAGACAGAGACAGACAGAGAGACAGAAAGCGAGAAATCACCTCCCAGGGGGGATGGCCACGCCGCAATCCTTTCTCCATTCTCTTCTCGGGATCTTGGGCACGCACACACATCCAGCGTGAGTTTTAAGCCACCGGGTCAGGACACAAACCGCGGTCGACTACGTGGGAGTCCAGCGACATAGCCATTATGCTAACTGCTGGTCCCTGTTTTTTGTTTTTTTTGAGAGAGAGAGATTTGGTATAGGGTGCATGTGCTTACCAGAGACAGAAAGCAAGAAATCACCTCCAAGGGGGAGCTGACCGTGCTTTAATCCCTCTCCATTCTCTTGGGATTTGGGGCTTATGTACACACTCGTACCTGGCGTGAATTTCAAGCCTCTGTACATCATTTGTACACGGTACATACATACCATTTGGGAGCTGGGGGAGGATAAATAAATAAAATTTATAAACAAATAATAAAGAAAAAAATAATAAAACTTACCTAGATGGCTCTATAATCCACATTTTGTGCTTTTCCCTCCTTTTTACAGCATCTTCACCAGGCAAGAGTTTACTCTATGGCGGTTTTTCAGATGGTATATGTTTTCTTTTATTATGGTGTGCTTATGTTCTTTGTTCTCTTAACTTTGTCCCATAAGTTGCACCAGTTCAGTTAAATAACTATGGGTCAAATACTTCAATGCTTTCTCTCAAATCTTAAGAATTAGGTAGGTATATGCTTTGTACTAGACTGCTGCATGCTGTGAGCAACCAGAGAAGAGTTAGGTTGTGTGTCTCAAAGAGCTTTCGGTCTAATGGGTACTTAGCTATTCTGCTTTTTCTTCTGCTTCTGTCTGAACTCTGCCTTCTTTTGTCTTGGAATTCATATCTTCTTTGTCTATGACAAAGAAATATTTAAATTAGGAAACATTAAGTTGACAGTCATTTTCTATTACTCCTATCATTAGATGACGGCATTCAGAAATCACAGCTTGGAAACCAGTCTCCATCAACCTCCAGCCAACGTAAGTTTGTCTATTCAGTTTTTATTAGGAAGGTTCCTAAGACTGATAGTCTGAAACTGTTTAAAAATGGCTTTTGATAGCACTATAGCTTAATACTATTTGGAAATCATATTCGAAGCAGTGTAGGGGGAAGAGTATATATTGGGTTGCTGGAAAAGTCAGATGCATTTTTGCATAGAAAAACATGTCATGACTTTTCCGACAACCTAATACTTTACTGGCAATAAACTGCATGACTTATGCTGAATCAGCAGAAAGACAGCTCACAGCATGACATCATGGGATTACCGTGGGTTTCGGTGTCCAGACTTGCATTGGAACTGGATGGGACCACTCCTGATTGCCTAAGGGCAAGTTTTTTTAAGTTTCGTAAGCCTATTCATTATCCTAAATGAGTACTAAAAAATTAATAGTGGTTCTCAAAATTTTTTGTCTCAGTACCACTTTACACTAGTACAGTTAATAAACACCTCCAGATAGTCTTTTTTTAAATTGGCTATATGTACCCATATTTACCTGGAAATTAAAGCTGAGAAAGTTTTAAAATATTTACTCACATATTTGTAAGTAACTAACTTAGAAGAGAGACCAGTTGCTTTACATTTCTTCTATTCACTAATGCCTACCTCAATAAAATGGAGCTGACTTATCTGCTTCTGTATTCAGTCTGTTATATTATTTTTGTTGAAATATCTGTGGAAAATCCAGCTTCATAAAGACATGAAGAATTTTAATGGCCTTTTTAGATCATTATGGATGCTTTTTTTTTAATATTCTCTAAAACTCAACAGTTGGTAGCTTCTTAAGTTATATTAATGAACTTTTGGTATTGTATTACATTAAAATCCACTGGTCTTCCTTATACTTTGAATGGAATATCATGTACTAGTTATTTGAAGAATATTGATTCACTAAGTTAGGCAAATCTTCCAGCTGTTCACATATTTGTGATTCGGTATAGAGGATGACATTTGTTAGTATCACTACCAGTTACTTTTTCTTGAGAGAGAGAGAGGTTTTTGCTATAGGGTGCATGTGCTTGCTGGAGAAACAGAAAGTAAGAAATCACCCCCCGGGGGGAGGTGGCCACACTGCAGTCCCTTCTCCCCCATTTTCCCCTCAAGATTTTGAGCGCGTACGTGCACGTGCTGGGCATGAGTTTTAGGCCACTGGGTCCAGGACTTGAACTGGGTCAGCTACTTTGGAGTCCAGTGATATAACCATTATGCCATCTGCTGGTTCTACCACCAATTACTTTTTTTTTTTTTTTAAGAATTATTTTATCTAAATGTGTGTGTGTGTGTGTGTTTGTAAATTTGACCAGAGAAGGACAGAGAGTGAGAGAGAGAGAGTCAGAGAGCAAGCCATCAGGTCTGGTACTGGAACCACAGTCAACCACATGGGAGTCCAGTGCCCTCAACTACCACACTACCTGCTAGCCCACACCAATTACTTTTTTTTTTTAATTAATCTTTATTGAACTTTATTTTAATTTGACCAGAGAGTGTCAGAGTGAAAGAGAGAGAGAAAGTGAGAAAGCAAGTGCCTGGGACTGGGACTTGAACCACAGTCGGTCATATGGGAGCCTAACGCCCTTAACACCATGCCAGCTGCTGGCCCCTACAACAATTACTTTTTATTTTATTTTTTTTAAATAATGATTTAACTTTATAATGTGACCAGAGAGGGACAGAGCGAGAGATAGAAACATGGAAAGTGAGAAAGCAGGCCACCAGGTCTAGGACTCAAACCTTGATTGGCCATGTGGGGGGTCCAGCATCCTTTGCCACGTGATGTGTCAGACCACTAATTACTTTTTAAAAGTATTTAGTGAGAACTGTTAAGTATTGGGAACTGTTAAGTTCATGGTGATAGATAAAATATCTTCACAATCCTAATTTTCTTTCTTTCTTTCTTTGTTTTTTTTAAGAGAGATTTTTGCTGTAAGGTGTATGTGCTCTCCTGGGAGAGAGTGGCAGAGACAGAAAGTGAGAAATCACCCCCTAGGGGGATGATCATGCTGCAATCCCTTTTCCTCTTGCGATTTGGGCACACACACACACACACGTGTCCAGCATGCGTTTTAAGCTGCCAGGTCCAGGACTCAAACTGTGGTCAGTCGTGTGAGAGTCCAGCGATGTAACCATTATGCTGATTCTCACAATTCTAATTTTCACTTGAAAGGTTGAATTTTATATTTGGCAACAAACTTTGTCAGTTATTTCCCTAGAAGTAACAGGCTGTTTTTTCATTTTCTAGAAAATGCCAAATATATGTCTGACTGATTATAGTTTGTAAATTGTTTTTTCAAACAAAAATGGTATATTTCATGAATAAAAGGACTAATTCGGCTTACAGCTCATTTGCAAAGTCCTTTTCCTTGAGACTCCATTGTCCTGTGCTGTGCAGCAAAGAAACTTTATGTATCTTTCCCATTTCTTCACACAAAATAACAAGAAGCTGCATACTCAAGGATTGACATTCAGTGAGATAAATAATTATACCTGCTTCATGAAGGACATTGTTAAGTGAAACCGCCCCCTGCTTTTAAACTTGAATGCATGGCAGTGGAAAATACAGTGACTGTACCTCTATAGATTGGTATCACTGCCCTGTGACAATGCCAAGGCATCAGAAGTTTTCCCCACCATTGCTTTTGTACAATCAGTGCCAACGTTGACACAGCAAAAACCTTAGGATCTTAGTGTTCTGGAATCGCTTGAACCTCATGGACCCCTTCTCCAAAACAGGGTCTTGAGGTGCCGCTTCACTCACTCTGAGAACTGCTACTGTAAAAGGCCCCCAGTAAAATTATTAGTGTACAGCAATCAGTGAATGAAAGATAAAAAGGTATTATTGTTACTGTCTTCTTATTAACTGATTAAACGAAGTGTTACATGAGAAAGTGTTCTATGACCTGAAAAGCACTAGGTAGGACTGCCCTGTGGCCTAGTGGTTAAGGGAGTCAGATCCCACATGGCCAACCATGGTTCAGATCCCAGCCCTGACAGCTTATAAAAACATGCCAGGGGCATGTGCGTACATGCCCCAGATCCCGACAGAATGGAGAAATAAAGGAGAAGGGATTGCAGCGTGGTCACACACCTTTGGGGAGTGCTTTCTCTCTCTCTCTCTGTCTCTGTTGCTCTCTAGTGAATACATGCATCATCTGGTGATTAAAAAAAATGCTAGATACATATAAATTGATATTATTGCCAATAATAATTGAGGATTTGTTACACACTGAATTTTACCAGTGTTAACTTGCAAATCATAAAAAAAAAATAGGCATCAGTGCAGTTAATCTAAAGAGATAGCTAGCTAACTTGAGGTATTGAAGAGGTTCACTTGTATTGTGTCCCCTTCTTTGTCTGTTCTTAGACATCGAAAATAAATTCCACCACATAATTAGCTGTGTGAACTGCTGAGTTTCTAAATTAAAAAATATATTTTTAAATTATTTTATTTTAACTTTATTTTTAATTTGATCAGAGAGGGACAGAGCAAGACAGAGAGAGAGAATGTGAGGAAGCAAGCCACTGGGTCTGGGACTTCAGCCACGTTCAGCCATGTAGGAGTCCAGCATCCTTAACCACCATACCAGTTGCTGGCTCCCTAAATTTAAAAATATTTTATAAAGTGTCTTTTTAGTTTTTACTATAGAACACATGTACTCACCAGAGAGAGATATAGAGAGAGAGAGAGAGGTGGGGGGGAGTGAAAAATCTCCTCCTGGGGGGGAATGGCCATGCCATCTCCATTCTCCTTTTGGAATTTTGGGCATACATGCATGCACACATGCCTGGCATGATTTTTAAGCCACTGGGTCCAGGACTCTAACCATGCCATCAGCCATGTAGGATCCAACACCTTAACCTCCATGCCACCAGCTGGCCTTAATAATATTACCAGTTATTAGCCATAGTAATAATAATTTTGTTTTATAAACTGTACATTTCTGACTTGTCTGTACCATTTTATATGTTTAAATTCTATTTTTCCTTGAAGATGCGTTACTGTTTTTATATTGAAGAGATATATGCATATTTATACATTTTTTTTTTGGAGAGGTTTTTGCTATAGGGCACGTGTGCTTGCCAGAAAGACAGAGAGAGACAGAAAGCAAGAAATCACTCCCTGGGGGGGATGGCCACACTGCAGTCCTTTCTCCTCCATTCTCCTCTTGGGATCTTGGGCATGCACACACATGCGCCCCATGTGAGTTTAAGCCACCAGATCTGGGACTCGAACCGTGGTCAACTACATAGGATTCCAGTGACGTAGCCATTACGCCATCTGCTGGTCCCTATACATATATCTTAAAGCCTATGAGTGCGAGATTTTCTTGGAAACATGATCGCTTACTTTATTCCTAATAGAAAATATCAGCTCCCTTTGAAGTTCTTCCTTTTATGCCTAATCATAATAGAGAGTAATACTGATTTTAAAAGTAATTCACCCTTGACTCTAAAAAAATGGTACTTATACTTGTCATTTCTATTTTTTTCTGAGCAGAAATGACTGGACAACCCAAAAATGCATCTTTTATCAAGATGAGCTGGAGATGGCTACTTTTTCCGATAGCTGCTCTTGTCTTTGGATATTTTTGGTTCGTTCCTATTCCTGAGGTGGAAACCACTGCTGTTCAAGAGTTCCAGAACCAGATGAAACAACTTATGGATAAGTACCAAGGTCAAGATGAGAAGCTGTGGAAACGAAGCCAAACGTTCCTGGAAAAACATCTCAACAGCTCCCATCCTCGGGCCCAGCCTGCTATCCTGCTGCTCACTGCTGCCCGAGATGCCGAAGAAGCACTTAAATGTCTGAGTGAACAAATTGCTGATGCCTATTCTTCCTTCCGTAGTGTCCGTGCCATCCGGATTGATGGAGCAGACAAAGCTTCTCAAGACAGCGATGTCGTCAAACTAGAGGTGGACCAGGAGCTGAGCAATGGGTTCAGAAATGGCCAGAATGCAGCTGTGGTACACCGCTTCGAGTCTCTGCCTGCGGGCTCTACTTTGATCTTCTATAAATACTGTGACCATGAAAACGCAGCCTTCAAAGACGTAGCCTTGGTCCTGACTGTCTTGTTGGAGGAGGAGACACTCGGAGCCAGTCTAGGCCTAAAAGAAATTGAAGAAAAAGTGAGAGATTTCCTCAAAGTCAAGTTCACCAACTCCAACACGCCCAACTCCTACAATCATATGGATGCAGACAAATTGAACGGGCTCTGGAGCCGCATTTCTCACTTAGTCTTGCCCGTGCAGCCTGAAAATGCCCTGAAAAGGGGTGTTTGCTTATAAGGAGTGAGAGAAGAGAAGATCGTGCCTCGAGTTCTGGGAGTTTTTCAGACTTTCTAACCAGAGACAGGATTCAGAGCTCTTTTTGAAAGAACTGGTTTCTTTTTAAAGGAAGTTGAGTTCTTACATAAACATGGAACATCTAAGTCATTTACTCAGCCTAATTATCTGTTACTTGAGAGAATCATTCATTTCTTGTTTCCATTGAGAGCTGTGTTAAGGGATCTTAGAAGTGTACATTATAAGCATCCCATAGAGGATCTGTTTTGATTCTGGGCAGAATCATTACTGCCGTGGTGTGACCAGTAAGAGATTAGGCTCCTTTCTTCTGAATCCCTTCCTGATATTTTTTAATTTAGGTTTTTTCTAAAGTTTTTTAGTAAGGCAGCTCCCTAACTCTAACCATGGGTTTTCTCATTATATTCCTATTTACACAGTGTACGTATGAGTTCCTTAGCTTCTGCTGATAGCAGCATAAGTAACAGAAGGTCATCTGGGTGGGTACGTGGGTTTCTTTTTGCTCCCTTTGGTTTTGGATGGTGGAGAAGAGAGAAGAAAGAAATTGTCGAGTGGGGAAGGAAAGGGGGGAAAAAGTTCAAGATGAAATGTTACAATAAGCCACTGAAACACAGGTTAGTCAGATAGTAGGTATGTGAAATGTTACACTAGTAAATCCTGTTACAATTTGTTTTCCATATTTTTCCCCTTAAATTCCTGATCCTTCCAAGAATTTTTAAAGCATATATATAACAAGGTCTAACATATTTACTCATTTGACTCATAAGAGTAGGTGAATTCACAGCAGTTTATTTTGGACATATCTTGAAGCTTTTATTTTGAATTAAATATAGTTTCAGGGATTAATAAACCATGGGTAACGGCTTTCCTGGGCTATTGAAGGAGGATCTAATTTTCTGCGTGTCCACCTGTTGCAGTCTAAGACCCTTAACGACACTCCATAATCAATATGAAGACTTCCTATGCACGTGAGAAATCTTATTAAGAGTGCCTCAAGCCAAAAAGACTGAACTTTACCGCATATGAAGAATGTTACCTATATTTCTATACTACTATAGTATATTTTAGCTGCAGCTTTGCATCCATAATTGAGTTTTCTCATCTGTCAACTGCTTTGGTTTTCTTAAAATCTTTTGATTTTAGATCCACCTTGTTTTGTAATTATCCACAAACCTTTAAATGCAAATATTGCTTTTAGAGCCCATCATTGGCTTCCTCATTTAGAGAGTGATCTAATTTATTTTCACTAGGACTGCCAGTATTCATAAATATATACCCCTTGTTGTAATTTGTTCCTGTCAGAGTCAAGTCACTTGATTTATTTTGTAGGGGATTATAAAACAGTTTTTGAAAAGGCTTATTTTATACCTACATACTATATGGAGAAACAAATGTTTTTATTAAATGTTTCCCTGACCCAAATAATTTTAATGTAATTAATGTTACTTATATCTTTCAGAAAATTATATCAGATGATCTGTAAATGACTTTAAATGCTATTTTAGTAATTTAAATAAAGTTGCTTTTGTGGTTTGTATTTTCTGTGTTATAAACTTAATGATTTGTAAACCTTTAACAAATTAATCTAAGTTTTGTTTTGTTTTTGTTTTTGTTTTTGTTTTTTTTGGTTTTTTTTTTTTTTTAAACGCAGAGCTTTTTCGTAATAGGGCAGAATCCGGAGCTAGTTTTTGTACCCTCAGCTGGCATGTCAGCCTCAGAGTGCTTGAACTTCTGGCCCTTGGAGCAGACATGGTAGGTCTGGTATGGCTATGTGGGGTTCCAGAACCTTGCTGAAATGCCAGTACACCTCATGGCCCCTGGAAGAACCAGAGAGCAGGACGGTACCATCACCCTTGGGGAGTCCAGGGCCAGCTGGTTGAATGTGAAGCTCCTGCTCCCAGTCTTGAGGATGCAGCTACAGGCCTACTGATCACACAGTGCACACACCTTCAGCTTGGGCACCTCCTGAAAGCACACATCGTCTGTGATGGGCCCCACGACCACAGCCGTTTTGTTTTCACAGCCAGGAAGCTTCATTTTGCAGATCATCCTAGAAAGGGACAGAGGTGGCCAGTTGGTGCAACTCTTGAACAACCTCTTCAGAACAACCTGGTCGAAGGTGGAGTTGGGCCATCTGGCCAGAAACCAGTAGAGCCTGACCAACAACCTCAGGTAGATGGCTCTTGGGCCGCTGCGTCAAGCCTTCTTTCAGCCCTTGTGACTCCCATGATGGTGTCTTCTTTTCAGCCAGGTCCAGCAAGCAATCCAAGTATTTTCTTTACACTTGAAAGTTTTTAGTGAAAAATTGAATGACTTTGGCTAGGAGAAACAAAAGATCAAAGAATTGGAGCTATTCACAAGTACAGTGGTTCAAAATGGAGTAGCAGAGCTGGCTCAATAGCATAGTGGTGAAATGCTATGCAAAGGAAACAAGAACCCACATGGGCTGACCATGTTTTGAATCATGGTTCCAGCAGCTTAGAGAATACCAGGTATGTATGCGTGGGTGCCCGTAATCCTGACTGGGTGGAAAAGATTGTGGCAAAATCACACCCCGCTGGGGGGAGAGACTTTTTCTCCTTTCTTTCTCTGGTACATGCACATGCCCTCTGGTGCTAAAAAAGAAAGAAAGGCTAGCAGGTGGCATGGTGATTAAGGTGCTGGATCTGTGGTTTAAGTCCTGGACCCAGAAGCTTGAAAAAAACAAATAGATAAATGAATGAATGAAAAAATAAAAGAAATGGAATAGCCATGATTTTCTATTTTGTTCAGGGCTTTTGTATTATCATTAAAGTGAAGTTAGTTTAGATGTCCCTAACTTGGCAAAAGAATCTGTACAACAGCCATTCTTAACCTTTTCTTTATCACCTCCCTGAAGAACTTTTTAAAAGAAGGTTCCCAGTTTAAATCTGGAGACCTCTCTGAATACATTGGACATATTCTTGCTTGTTATCCTGGGCTAGCTGAAGGCTGGTGTGGATGGTAGCATCAAGATCCTATAGGGGAAATTCTCTCAGTCTCACACTTTCTGTCTCCCTTGCTCATGAAGAAAATGCATAAGCTTAAGAAAACACACCTCAGGGGGAACCAGCAGTTAGCGTAATGGCTATGTCGCTGGACTCCCACATAGTCGACCGCGGTTCACATCCCGGACCCGGTGGCTTAAAACTCACGCCGGGCGCATGTGCGTGCGTGCCCAAGATCCCGAGAGGAGAATGGAGAAGGGATTGCGGCGTGACCATCCCCCCTGGGGGGTGATTTCTCACTTTCTGTCTCTATGTCTCTCTCTGGCGAGCGCATGCACCCTATAGCAAAAATCTCAAAAAAAAAAAAATACACCTCAGATACTATTTTAATATACATATGCTATTGTTAATTCGTTGTAAGTCTGTTATTAGGACACTGAGCACTCTAGTTTTTCAGTCTGTTCCTTGGACAAATGAGGTGGTAGGTGACCATGAACCCTTGGTTCAAACTTGATTTGTCTTCGTGCTTGTAGGGAGCACCGTTCTTTGGCTAACCTCAATAACAGAATCTACTCTATACAGCCTTGTATAGAGGATATTCACCCATAGTAGTCAATTACATTTCTTGATAAGAAAATGTTTTATCTACTCAATCTCTCATGGTTTAAATTAACTTCCTTTTACTTTTTTTTAAAAAACTATTTCTTTTAATATCTCATTATTATTTGTAAATTCACTACAGGGCATGTGTGCTTACCAGAGAGAGACAGAATGAGAAAGCAAGCCTCCAGGTCTGGGACTATAACTGCAATCAGCTATGTGGGAGTCTAGCACCCCAACCATCATGCCACCTGCTGGCCCCCAACTTCCTCTTACTTTAAAAGTTGACTACAAGAGGGACCAGCAGATGGCATAATGGTTACATTGCTGGACTCCCATGTAGTCAACCGTGGTTCAAGGCCCAGGCCCAGTGGCTTAAAACTCATGCCGAGTGCATATGCATGCTTGCCCAAAATCCTGAGAGGAAAATGGAGAAGGGATTGCGGCATGGCCATCCTCCTTGGAGGTGATTTCTCACTTTCTGTCTCTGTCTCTCTCTGGTGAGCACATGTGCCCTATAGCAAAAATCTCTCTTTGGGATCAGCAGATGGCATAATAGCTACGTCGCTGGACTCCCATGTAGTTGACTGTGATTCAAGTCCCGGACCTGGTGGCTTGAACTCACACCAGGCGTGTGTGTGTGTGTGCCCAAGATCCTGAGAGGAGAATGGAAAAGGGATTGCGAAGTCATCCCCCTAGGGGGTGATTTCTGACTTTTTGTCTCTCCGTCTCTGTCTTTCTGGCTAGTGTACGCACCCTATAGTAAAAAAAACTCTCAAAAAAAAAAAAAAGACTACAACAGAGACCAGTAAATGGTACAATGGTTACGTTGCTGGACTCCTACGTAGTCGACCGCAGTTCAAATCCTGGATCTGGTGGCATAAAACTCTTGCCAGGTGTGTGTGTGTGCATGCCCAAAACCCCAGAGGAGAATGGAGAAGGGATTGTGATGTGGCCATCCTCCTGGTGTAGGGGGAGGTGGTTTCTCACTTTCTGTCTCTCTGTCTCTGGTAAGCACACATGCCTTATAGCAAAAATCTCTCTCTAAAAGAAAAAAAGAAAAAGTGACCACAACAAAGATAGTAACGGTCAATACAAAGGCATACATACACATACACACACACGCACACACACATATTCAACTGTGCATGAAACCGTCCCTCACCCTTTTCCACTTTTTGTCAGGTGTTGAGTGCATATTAACACTCCAAACACCACAACTCCAAGGATTTTACATGTATTAAGTGATTTAATTCTCACAACAATCCTGGAAATGGTACTTTATCCCAGTTTAACAGACAGAAAATTGAGGCACAGAGAAGTGAAGTGACACAAGAATATCCAAGTAGAAAGTGGTGGGGCAGAGATCCGAACCCTGCAGGCCGGCTTTACAACGTCTATTCTGACTACTACAGTGTTCTCTACAGTCTCATATGCGGTATTTACTCCCCAATCAGGCGGTATACAGTACAGGTTATATTCAGCATATACTTTTGTTTTTCCTCTGGGGTAAGTGCACTCACCAGAGAGAGAAAGAGAAATCATCTCCCTCCAGGGAGGAATGGACATGCCTCAATCCCTGCTCATCCAGTCTCCTCTTGTAATTTTGGGTGCCTATACCCACACACCCCCACACACAGCATGATTTTCAAGCTGTTGGGATCTCAAACGGCCCAGCCAGCCATGTGGGATTCAGTGCTTTAACCTCAATGCCACCTGCTGGCCCCTGCCTGTGTATCATTTGTTCATTTGTGACTCTCCTTTAAACTCTCTCCATCCTGGCTCAGTATTATGGAATCTGTTATTTCACACATCCACGTCTGAAGAACTTTGAGTCGAACGAGACAGCCATCACACGGTTCTATCAGTTGATACGGTTTGCAAACATAGGCAAACTGCTTTTGTAACCAACATTACTGTAGTATTAACACACAGTTCATCCTTTTTTTTTTTTTTGGAGAGATTTTTGCTATAGGGCGCATGCGCTTGCCAGACAGACAGAGAGAGACATAGAGACAGAAAGCGAGAAATCACCCCCCAGGGGGGATGGTCACGCCTCAATCCCTTCTCCTCCATTCTCCTCTCTGGATCTTGGGCACGCACGCACACACGCCCGGCGTGAGTTCTAAGACACCGGGTCCGGGACACGAACCGCGGTCGACTACGTGGGAATCCAGCGACATAGCCATTATGCTAACTGCTGGTTCCCTCCTGCCAATAGGTTTTTCATCTTCTTTCCTTATTCCTCATCCAGGGGATTCTTCAGCAATAATGAACTTGGTTTTATTTTATTTCAACATTTTCTTCTATGCCAACTCTCTCCAACTGTCTCTCTGCATCGAAATATGTTAATAAACAAATCAATAAATGATTCTCAGGTAGTCAAATGAAATCAGGACAAAACCCCTTATTTTATTTAGCATTTTCCTCTAGTTACCATTTTTTTCTTCCTTTCCCATTAGTAAATTCCACTCTAGTTATAAAAATTTCTAAAAACAGAAATGTACAATAATGTTTTCCCTTTCTAAATTTCACTCACTACTCTCTCCACTTCAATAGAGCTGATCATTGAAACGGAGATTTTTGCTGTAGGGCATGTGCACTTGCCAGAAGAGACAAAGAGAGCAAGAAACCACTCTCCAGGGGAATAATCACATTGCAATCCCTTCTCCATTTTCTTTTTAGGATTTTGGGCATGCACAGACACATACCTGGCGTGAGTTTCAAGTCTCTGGGTCCAAGACTTGAAATGAAGGCAGCCATATGGGAGTCTAGCCACACAACCAACAGCACTTGCTGGTCCCAACAGCACTGGCTTTGAAGAGACATGAATTCAAATCCTGATTCTGTTCCTTTTTAGTCTTCAGCAAATCATTTAGCCTACATGTGATACAGCTTCCTTACTTGTAAATTTAGAAAATAATACTTTGTAAAGAACTTAGAAATTAGTCTTACAAAATCTGTTGCCGGA